CTCCAAAAGTGCTGGGATTACAGGCATGAGCCACCACACCCAGCCTGTTTTATTACTTCTAACATCATAACTTCAAACGAGACAAAGAAAAGATGGAAAAAGTATTAATTTAAGTTGTCAAGCCTAATTTTAAAAATCCTTATTTTAGGCGGGGCATGGCGGCTCACATCTATAATCCCAGCACTTTTGGAGACCGAGGTGAGTGGATCACCTGAGGTCAGGAGTTCAAGACCAGCCTAGCCAACATAGTGAAACCCTGTCTCTACTGAAAATACAAAAAATTAGCTAGGTGTGGTGGTGTGCGCCCATAATCCCAGCTACTCGGGAGGCTAAGGCAGGAGAGTCCAAGGTTACAGTGAGCTGAAATCACACCATTTCACTCTAGCCTGGGCAACAAGAGTAAAACTCTGTCTCAAAAAAAAACAAACAGACAAAAAAACACAATGAAAATCAGCCAGGCTGGTGGTGCACACCTGTAATCCCAGCTACTTGGGAAGCTGAGGCAGAAGAATTGCTTGAACCCGGGAGATGGAGGTTGCAGTGAGCCCTGATCGCACCACTGCACTTCAGCCTGGGCGACAGAGCCAGATTCTGTTTAAAAAAAAAAAAAAAAATTACTATTTTAAGTGAAAAATTAGTAGGATTAAAGTAAATCAAGACAATATAAACATTAATGGTGGTGAAAGCTTGAAGCTCTAGTACAAGAGATGTGGGGTAGTAATAGGTCCAGAAAAAGCACCAAGACACTTGTCTTGAAACTGCACTTTATAGCAAGCAACCTTTAAAAAAATTAGTTTTCAGCCCCAATTCAGTGGCTCACACTTATAATCCTAGCACTTTGGGAGGCTGAGGCCAGAGGATTGCTTGAGGCCAGGAGTTCAAGACCAGCCTGGGCAACATAGCAAGACCCCATCTCTAATTTTAAAATATAAAAATAAACTAGTTTTGAGATATAACTTATGTACAATAAATTTCAATAATTTAAAAAGTACAGCTTGCTGAGCTCTGACAAATGTTTACAGTCACCTGCCTAGGCCTCCAAAAGTGCTGGGATTATAGGTGTGAGCCACCACACCCTGCCTCTGAACCCTGGAAACCTCTGAGCTGCTTTCTGTTTTGCCTTTTCTAGAATGTCATATAAATGGAATCATATAGTATTTGGGTGTAAATGGAATCATTAGTATTTACTCTGCTAGGCATATACTTGCTTCTTTCACATACCATAATGCTTTTGAGATTTGTCCATGTTCTTGCCTATGTCCACAATCTGTTCCTTTTATTGCTCAATAGTATTCCACTGCATGGACACACTGTGAGGTGTTAAACAGTTGAGGGACATTTGGATTATTTCCAGTTTGGCTATTATGAATAAAGTAGCTATAAACATTGGGGTCAAGATTTTTGTGTGAATATATTTTTCATTTCTTTTTAAAATTTTTTTATTGTTTCTTTTTCTTTTCTTAAAAATCCCAAATGTGATAGTATTTTATTTTTCCTAAGTAAATACCTAAAAGTAGAATTGCTAGGTCATATTATAAGCATAGGTTTAGCTTTAAAAGTGGCCAAACCGCTTTCCAAAGTGGCTGTACCATTTTGCGTTCCTACTAACAATGTATGAGAGCTCCAGTTGCTCTGCTTTCTTGTCCACATTGTCAGTCTTCAAATTTTAGCCATTCTAGTGGGTGTATACAGGTATGACATTGTAGTTTTAATTTGCATTTACCTAATAACTATTCATGTCATGCACTTGTTGGCCATTTATATATCCATATTGGTGAGGTGTCCAAATCTTTTGCCCATTTTTAAATTAGGTTTTTTGGCTTCTTTTTAAGTTGCGAGAGTTCCATATGTATAGATTCTGGATATAAGCTCTGCAGTAGGTATACATTCTACAAATATTTTCTCCCAGTCTGTGGTTTGCCTTTTTTCTTTTCTTTTTTTTCTTTTAATTTTTTTTATTTATTAATTTTTTTTTTTTTTTTTTTTTTAGACAGGGTCTCACTCTGTCACCCAGGATGGAGTGCAGTGGCATGATCTCGGCTCACTGCACTCTGCGTCTCCTGGGCTTAAGCAATTCTCCCACCTCAGCCTCTTGGGCAGCTGGGACTACAGGCATGAGCCACCACACTCAGCTAATTTTTGTATTTGTTGTAGAGACAGGGTTTTGCCATGTTGCTTAGGCTGGTCTCAAACTCCTGAGGTCAAGCTATCCACTGGTCTGGGCCTCCCAAAGTGCTGGGATTACAGGTGTGAGCCACCACGCCCAGCCAGCTTTTCATTTTCTTAATAGTTTTTTTTGGAAGAACAAAAGCTTTCCACTTTGATAAGGTCCAATTTGTCAATTTTTTTCTTTTATGGTTCATGTTTTTTGTGTCTTAAGAAATCTTTGCTGAATGCAAGGTCACAAAGATCTTCTTTTACGTTTCCTACATTTTAGAGCATTAGCTCTTATTTTTAGTTTTATGACCCATTATTTATGATGTAACAGCAGAGGTTCATTTTTTGGCATATGGCTTCCAATTGTTCCAGCAATACTTGTTAGAAAGACTAAGATTTCCCCCATTGAATAACCTTAGTACCTTTGCTAAAAATTTGTTTGCCATAAACGTGTAAGCCTGCAAGCATACGAAGGGATGCAGAACATCATTAGTAATTAGGGAAATGCAAATTGAAACTACAATAAGATTCTACTTCATACCCACTCAGAAAACTATAATTAAAAAAAGACAGGCTGCTGGGAATGTAAAATGGTGTAGTCACTTTGGAAAGCCATCTGGCAGTTCCTCAAAATATGGACACATATTTACCATGTGACTGTCAGTTTCACTCCTAGGTATCGTCTTGTTCATAGCAGCATTATTCAGAATAGTTTGAAAACAGAAACAGCCCAAATACTCATCAGCTAATGAGAAGATAAACAAACTGTGGTATAGTATATAAGTACAATGGAATATTATTCAGCCATAAAAAGGAATGAAGTACCGATACATGCTAAAACATTATCTTGAAAACATAACACTAAGTGAAAGAAGCCAGTCTGAAGAAACCTCATGTTACATGAGTCCATGTATATGAAATGTCTGGAGTTGGCAAACTACACAGACAGAAAGCAGAGTAACAGTTGCCTAGGGTAGGGGTGAAGTGGTGGTATAAGGGGATATGGGAAGTAATTGCTAATGGGTTCCAATTGTTTCCAGTGAGGTTTCTTTTTGGGAGAAGAGAATTTTTTTTTTTTTTTTTTGAGACAGTCTGTCTCTGTTGCCCAGGCTGCAGTGCAGTGGCACGATCTTGGCTCACTGCATCCTCTGCCTCCTGGGCTCAAGCAGTCCTCCTGCCTCAGCCTCCCAAGTAGCTGGGACCACAGGCACGCACAACCACGCTCAGCTAATATGTGTGTGTGTGTGTGTGTGTTTGTGTTTGTTTTGGTAGGAATGGGTTTTCCTAGGCTAGGGGAGAGAAATTTTCTAAAACTAGGTTGTGGTGATGCTGCAGGACCCTCTCAATTTATTAAAAACCATTGACTTGTATACTTTATTTTTCTATGAACTTTGTAGAGAAGTAGATTTGTAGCCACCCCAGCAGTATGCACCTGACTATTCTTGGACTTCTCAGTTGTGGGAGCCAATACATTCCTTTTTATTCTGTTAAGCCAATTTGAATTTAGTTTCTGTCACCTGCAACAGGAGTCCTGACTAAAACTGAACTTATGAAAAACAGATCTCTACAAACAAGAATAATGGTAACCAATCAGATGATCTCTTCAAAGCTTTGAATGTAGGTACGGTGGCTCACACCTGTAATCCCAGCACTTTGGGAGGCTAAGATAGGAGGATTGCTTGAGGCCAGGAGTTTGAGACCAGTCTGGCCAACATAGCAAGGCTCCTCTCTATAAAAAAAATTAAAATTAAAAAAACTTTAAATGTAAGAGTAGGCAGTATGAGTGAAAGCTGAAAGAACATGCAGAGAAGACAGCAATCCAGGCCTCAATGAAAAGGAACCTAACTCTTGACATCCTATCTAGGCCTCTATTCTCTTTCCTATCTTCTAGCTTAGTCAGAATTTCTGCTCATTAATAACTGCAATTCATTCTCACTCCACCAGCATCATGGCCTGGATTGCTGCGTAACACCCTAAACTGATTTGACCCTGGAACCCTTTTTTTTTTAGAAACACAGCAAAAGGTAATTGTCAGCAAAGCAATTTGGGCTTTACACAGAACAAGCAAGAACAGGTTTCCTCTTCCAACGTGGTAATGCTCCTCATGACATCCTGGGATCAGAAATAACTAATGTTATTTATTTATTTATTTAGAGACAGAGTCGTTCTGTCGCCTAGGCTAGAGTGCAGTGGTGTGATCTTGGCTCACTGCAACCTCCACCTTCTGGGTTCAAGCGACTCTCCCATCTCAGTCTCCTGAGTAGCTTGGATTACAGGCATGTGCCATCAGGCCCGGCTAATTTTTGTATTTTTAGTATAGATGGATTTTTGCGATGCTGGCCAGGCTGGTTTCTAACTCCTGACCTCAGATGATCCGCCCGCATTGGCCTCCCAAAGTGCTGGGATTACAGGCGTGAGCCACTGCACACGGCCAGAAGTAACTAATGTGGTGACCGATTTGGACCAGGATGTGGGCTTCCCTAGGGTAGGCAAGGTCCTTTCCAGACAAGTAACAAGGTCCTTTCCAGACAAGTCATTGTGCCTGCAATCTTCCTGGATCTTTAAGTTACATAACATCTCTAAGTCTTAATTCCTGTGGCACTAAAATAGGGGAAAAAACTTCATTGATTCAGAACAAGAAATCAAATATATGTAAAATGGCTGGTACATGGTACACAATGAATATTCATTCTCTTCCTCCAAACTTTAATATATCACTTACTATATAAAGTATCCAATTGTCTTTTGTTCAAATATTTTAAAATTTGTAGAGCAAAATAGTATGATTTTACATATAACAAACAGCTTAAATAAAGAACCAGGATCTTTTTTTAAATCTGAAAAACAGTTTTGCCACAATTCTTCAAATGTTTTTATTGGATTTAAAATTCATTTAAGGGATATACAGATATACAACTAGTTTGATCAGCTACTAATATATTTTGGTGTCCCTTTATTTTTGTACCCAAGAGCCAATTCACTTTTTCTCCATGTTCAATATTTAGCTTTGGTAAAATGTTGCCATGTTCTTCCTCATCCGTTACTGAAGCGTCAGTATTTCCACCCTGCTTGGTGCAAGTTCCTCTTTTAGGTTTCTTCCTGTGGGTACGTTTTGTAGGACTCTTCTGTTTCTTCTCAACTTCACTGTTTGCATCCCACAACATGATCTTCCCATCATTCCCTCCAGTAAGCAGCAAATAGGATTCTGGGAGAAAGCAGACCTGGGATACCCCTAAAGTGTGGCCCTTAAATCCCAGTTCCTGTTCACACTTAACTCCCATCACCCGAAAGATTCGAACCTTACCATCTTCTGCACCACAACTAAAAATATTACCACACGAAGCCACAGAGATACAGTGGGCTAGGGCAGGGTTTAAGAGCTGACCAGGTGACTGTGGGCCTTCCATTTCTTCTGTTTCATCCTCCTGTAAATTTGTAATCCAGAGTGGTCGGGCTTTTTGAAGACTCCACAGCATCACCTTTACGTAAGAAGAAATTACACAGTCATACAAAATGCTAGTCAATTTGCTCAACTACCGTGTGCTTATTCAGCTTCTAATACAATCGTTAAAGTGGTCTGAGAATGAGCAGTAAGGTAGCCTCCCAGCAGTACAAAAAAAATAATCAAATGCTGCCATAACATGCCAGTGGAATGCTATCCCGGGACTAAAACTAGATTGCAGTAAGGTAGAATTAAACAAGATCCTGAGTAATTTTTGATTAATAAACCCCATCAAAGTGTAATTGTTAAGCAAGTTTCTAAAGGTTTTTCTGCTCTCATCTCTTCAAGTGAAACCAAACGTTATGAAATTTGCTAGTTTTAGTCTATGCTGGTTATAGGTAACAAGGCCTATCAAGTAAATAAACTCAATCTGGATATCACTGAAATGGTTTCTATCTGGAATGCCTTTCCTTTCACATTACCCAATTACCCATCCAAGGGGCTTAAGCTCAGTCCCGGTGCCTCCAAGAAGGCTTTCCTATTTCAGCCTGCTTCTCTTTCCTGTATCTAGTTTCTGTTCTATTAACTGACATATTCTGCTAGCTTATCAGTTTCTTGAGACTCAATTAGTCTTTGCTAATGCCTAGCATAATGGCTGAGAAAGAGGAGAAATTCCAAATGTGTCTGTTGATTAATATGACATCCTGGTGTTAATTTCATTTGGCTTTTCGTTGTTGTTCCCGACCTTTTTTTTTTTTTTTTTAATAAGCTTTGTGAATGGGTTTTACATTATCATCTAGTGATTCATTCTTTTCCTGTATCAACCATTTTGCAAAGAAAAATACTCTTAATACTTTCAAAGCGAACAGACAGCTGTTTTACCATGTAGTTTACCATCATCCTTGAATTATAACTCATAATTTTAATAGACACTGGAAAAAGCATGACCTTCTTTAGACAGGAAAAGCATAGATCTGAATTGGCAAGATTAGCATTGCTGATGCTATTAAGAATTTGGTTTCCTATTCAAGGTAACTTCCCTTGTGATTATTCTTATTGGCTTATCTTCAAAAGCAGTGACATCTACTAACACTTATATTCTGCTTCTCTTAGATGAAAATCTCTTTGAATTGGGTTTATAACATTATACTATGTGACGAACAATCACTATTTGGGTGAAGTTAAAGTACTAACAAATTAAAATAAGCTAAAGTAAAACAAATAAATATTAGAAAATATAGGCCGGGCGCGGTGGCTCAAGCCTGTAATCCCAGCACTTTGGGAGGCCGAGACGGGCGGATCATGAGGTCAGGAGATCGAGACCATCCTGGCTAACACGGCGAAACCCCGTCTCTACTAAAAACACAAAAAACTAGCCGGGCGAGGTGGCGGCGCCTGTAGTCCCAGCTACTCGGGAGGCTGAGGCAGGAGAATGGCGGGAACCCGGGAGGCGGAGCTTGCAGTGAGCTGAGATCCGGCCACTGCACTCCAGCCTGGGCGACAGAGCGAGACTCCGCCTCAAAAAAAAAAAAAAAAAAAAGAAAGAAAATATAACAGGAAGGAGTGCTGAAACTTGATATGAAAATAGTTTGTTTTTGTCTTTTTTAAAATAGGGTCTCACTTTATCACCCAGACTAGAGTGCAGTGGTACGACCATGGCTCACTGCAGCCTTCACCTCTCGGGTTCAAGTGATCCCTCCACCTCAGCCTCCCAAGTAGATGGGACTACAGGCACACGCTACCACACCCAGCTAATTTTTGTAGAGACAGGGTTTTTGCTATGTTGCCCAGGCTGGTTTCCAACTGCTAGGCTCAAGCAATCCGCTCACCTCCACTTCCCAAAGTGATGGGATTACACACATCAGCCACAACGCTCAAAAACAGTTTCTATTAAAAAATCTAAACACGGCTGGGTGCAGTGGCTCACACCTGTAATCCCAGCACTGTGGGAGGCCGAGGCGGGCGGATCACGAGGTGAGGAGATCAAGACCATCCTGGCTAACACTGTGAAACCCCGTTTCTACTAAAAATACAAAAAATTAGCTGGGTATGGTGGCGGGCGCCTGTAGTCCCAGCTGCTCAGGAGGCAGAGGCAGGAGAACGGTGTGAATCTGAGAGGCAGAGCCGAGATCGTGCCACTGCACTGCTGCCTGGCCAACAGAGCAAGACTCCATCTTAAAATACATATATACACACACACAAGGAAAATGGACATTCTAGAATCTGCTAGCTTCACTGTATTGGCAGATAGCCCCAGTTCTTTCTCGTATTTTCTGTCCTCCAAAGACATTCAAACACGAACTGCACCCCAAGTGTTTCAGCAGCTGAAACACCTTTGTATTTGACTGAAACCATCTAAACGTGTCAACAGCCACCCCAGATTCTACCAAGTCTAGAATCATTCCCATGTATTGAGGATTCCAGACTGTTCCTGTCTGGACATTCCCTTTGCGCTTCTTGGCTTTTCCAAGCAGCTAAAGACTCCGAGGTGTTTCACACTTAATTTCTCAACCAGCTGTTCAAGCAGTTATCATCCTAAGCAAGAGAGCTAGAGATACTGAAAGAAAACAATGAAAGAGTTTGGGGCTCACGGTTCTGTAAAACATCGAAAGGAGAAAAAGTGGGGAACCAGCAAATGTTCAGAAGTGAATGTAATAGTAACAAAGTGACTTTTCAAAAAAAAATCCCCCTTTTACAAAAACGTTTCTTTCCATATAAAAGACTCATCTTCAAGATAAAGAGCCTCTTAAGGCCAGGTGCAGTGGCTCATGCCTATAATCCCAGCACTTTGGGAGGTCAAAGCAGAAGGACTGCTTGAGCCCAGGAGTTCAAGACCAGCCTGGGGAACATAGGGAGCCAGCCCTCCTCTCTAGCAAAAATAAAAAAAATTAGCTGGGTGTGATGGCTTGTGCCTGCAGTCCCAGCTACACAGGAGGATGAGGTGGGAGGATCACTTGAGGGAGTGCGAGGCTGTGGTGAGCTATAATTATACCACTGCACTCCAGCCTGGATGACAAAGACCCTGTCTCAAAAACAAACAAAACAGCCTTCTCCACCATTCTGGTCTGTAAGTGTTGATATTTTGGTCTTACAAAATTGAGAAAGAATAACAAACCTTTGAATCATCTGTTTTCAGATGCAGAAAGGGGCAGGGAAAGAACATCAACATGTATGCTACAGAAATATGACAGTTTTAATTTTCTAAGTCTTTCAAGAAAATAAGTATAGTTGAATGGTAGGTATACAGGTATTTATTTAATTTTTTTTTTTTTTTTTTTTTTTTGAGACGAGGTCTCCCTCTGTCACCCAGACTGGAGTGCAGAGGCACAATCTTGGCTCACTGCGACCTCAACCTCCTGGGCTCAAGCAATTCTCCCATCTCAGCCCCCCAAGTAGCTGGGACTATAGGTGCTCACCATGCGCCTGGCTAATTCTTCTATCTTTTGTAGAGACGTGGTTTCGCTATGTTGCCCAGGCTGGTCACAAACTCCTGAGCTCAAGCAATCCACCCCCCATGGCCTCCCAAAGTGCTAGGATTAAAGGCATGAGCCACTGTGCCCAACCTAATGTTATTCTTTATACCTCACATATATAAATATTACTTTGTACCTATTAAATAAAAAATTAAGCAGTCTCAAGTGTCTTAACGAACCACACTTAGCTTTTAAGTTCCTTGCCTCTTTGAATGTGCTTTGCCTATTTTATTTTTTTGAGACAAGGTCTCACTTTGTCACCCAGGCTGGAGTGCAGTGGCAAGATCACGGTTCACTACAACCTCGACCTCCCTGGGCTCAGGTGATCCTCCCACGTCAACTTCCCAAGTAGCTGGGACCATAGGTGCATGCTAGCACACCTGGCTAATTTTTGTAATTTTTTGTAGAGATAGGGTTTTGCCATGTTGCCCAGGCTGGTCTCGAACTCCCAGGCTCAAGTGATCTGCCTGCCTTGGCCTCCCAAAGTGCTGGGATCCCAGGCATGAGCCCTCAGGCACGTAAGCTACCACGCCTGGCCCTGCCTAATTATTCAAACCTAAGTCAAAAGAAATAATTTGATAATTACTGTTACATAAGAACAAAGGTGTGTTGAACATGGCAATCATTCAATTGCTGCCTTGTGATAAAATCTGTTTGCTCAGAGAGCAGGAACTCAAAATAGTCACAACTCCCTTCCACTAGTATTATGCCGACATTCTTGGGCTCCCCCATAGACTGGCTATCCTTAAAGTTTAGGATAATACTAGATGAACAGGTTTTAGGAAGAAAACTGTGGAAAAAATTATAGAGTTTCAACTTCAGTTAAGGAAATAATTTCTTAAAAGCATGGTTGTACGGCTGTTACATCACAACCCAGTGTAGAAACAAATCTACCACGAACGCTCAGCAATTTTACCAGGCAAATCAAAATAAGAAATTACCTGAGCCTCCCTTTTTCAAAATACTTGTTTCCTGGGCTGTTCACTAGCAAGTGCCGGCCACTAAAACGTCTTACCTGGAACTGGGGGCAAGAGAGTAAATTCTGAATGCCCATTCCTTATCTAATCTGAAAAGTACACATCACTTTTGCATACCTAATTGTCTATCGCCATGCCTAGTGGTTAATTAACGAGCTACTGATGGAAAACTGGTATAGCTGAAGGATGACAGAACGACTACTCAAAGACACACTGTACAATCTGCCTACTTAAAACATGTCCACCTGGTTGTACAGCTCTTTCTTTACAACCACAAGGGCAGATTATTACCACCAGGGTGGAGGATGTACGAGATTTATAAAGGGCTTGGTCAAAACCTAGGAGTGGAAAAGGAAGGTAGAGGTTGCAGGGTCACTATGCCCCACACATGTAGAGTGAGTCTCAACCCAGGCACTATCGATGTTTTTTGGGGAACAATTCTTTATTGTTTGGAGATATCCCAGCATTGCAGGACAGCCACTGATTCTGCCTACTGAATACTGGTAGCTTGCAGGAGAGGGGAACAGCATGGTGACAACAAAAACAGTCTCATCATTCTTAAATTATAAGGGGGATGCAGGGTTGGGGAGGGAGAGGTAAAGACCACTAGCCAAGAGGGTGGAAGTCAAAACTTCTGATGCTATTAAAAAGAACACAGAATCTTAGAAGATACTGTATGCAACTGAGAACAGAGATTAAATGCCTAAACAGTGCTGGACACAGGTCATTCTCAATGGTTCTCTCTCTAGAAGCCACCTCATCCCAAACCAAGACACTTTTCTGTGACATTACTGATGATACTCTGCTTGAATACCTGTCATCCTAGAGAAAAAACAGCCTTAGGAGCCAGAGAGATTGAGCTTTGAATCCCAGTCAGGTGGCTATGTAGATACTTAATGTGAATTTCAGTTTCTTTATTAAAAAAACAAAAACAAAATCACTAGGAGGATGTGATTAGAATTAAAACGAATATACACAAAGCACTGTCAAGAACTAAGTGCTCAACAGAGAGAAATTGTGACGACTGTCACTCCCGTGATGAGATTTACTCTCAAGAGGAAGCACATCCTGCCATGGGAACGTTCAAGCTATTTGAAAACGTTTACGTTAAGCCCAAATCTGCTTTCCCATGACTTCTCTTACGAAGACCAGCATATTCCATTTTTTTCCCTCAAGAAAACTAAGAATGAAACACCTCCAGTTCTCTACATAATGGGGTTTCTAGATATATCTGCTTTCCTGATGGACTTCCTCTGGATTTGGGCAATTTGTGATGTTCCTTTCTTTTTCCTTTTTTTCTTTTTGAGACAGAGTCTCATTCTGTTGCCCAGGCTGGAGCGCAGTGGCGAGATCTCGACTGATTGCAACCTCTGCCTCCCGGGTTCAAGCAATTCTGCCTCAGGCTCCCAAGTAGCTGGGATTGCAGGCGCCCGCCAGCACGCCTGGCTAATTTTTGTATGTTTAGTAGAGACGGGGTTTCACCATGTTGGCCAGGCTGGTCTTGAACTCCTGACCTCAAGTGATCTGCCCACCTTGGCCTCCCAAAGTGCTGGGATTACAGGCATGAGCCACCACGCCCAGCCGTGATGCTCCTTTCAAAACTCAGCATTGAATACGGTGCTTTGATCCTGATCACCAATACACAATATTTCAGTTAATGTACCCCAGAACTTTAAAGTAAAAACAGATCCCTCTAACTTTTTGTTTAAACAGAGTTTATAGAGAATGGGTGGACCAACTCTGCCTTTAGTACTCACCGTTGTTTGTTTAAACAGATGTTTACAACCAAATATTTGAATTTTCAGGTTTTAGGAATATCTTACAGTACAGAGAAAGGAAGAGTAAAGGATTAACGATTACTTTGTGAATAAATTCTACTAGATTTTATCAGACTAGCATTAAATGTAGAAATAAGGCTTATCGTTCATAAATGGATATGTTAGTAGAAAACAGAAAAAGCAAAGGTATTTGGTGTGATCAATACTTTGATTCTGTTAGCAAATCCCACTCAGAAATTCTCCAAGTACTCTGTGCAAAAGCATCACCTGCATATCCAGTCCACATGACACCAGGCTCTGAGGCCTCTGAGGTCGAAAAGCCACCGAAGAGCAGATGTTGGAGTGTCTCTTCAAGGATCTGACGACCTTCTTGTTCTCCACGTCTAGGATTTTGATCGCCCCAGAGTCATCGGCAGAAGCCAGCAGGTTTTCAGTTTGATTCAATGAAAGACAATTGATTTCTTCTTCATTCACATGAAAATGGTCCAAGGAATCTTTGAGGGACCTGACATCCAGTACACTAATGGTTTCTCCATGTGAGGCGTAGAGCTTGGTGGGGCAGGAGGGAGAAAATAAGACACTGGTAACATCATCAGCCCCTTGGAACCGCATGTGTCCTAATGGAGTTCCATCTTCACCCCAAGCCGTGAGATCTCCACCCTCCGCTCCGGAAGCCAGCAGCCCTTCTTTACTTGCATTTAGGCAGAGGACAGGAGAAGAATGTCCGCCAGTCCACTTGACTGCCATAATGGTCCCGAAGACTCTGTGAAGGGGAAACAACTGTAATCTCATGTTTTATGCATTGACTTGATGGTAGGAGACAGACGTAATCAACAGTATTTCATAAAGACATCTTGGGCCAGGCGCGGTGGCTCAAGCCTGTAATCCCAGCACTTTGGGAGGCCGAGACAGGCGGATCACGAGGTCAGGAGATCGAGACCATCCTGGCTAACACGGTGAAACCCCATCTCTACTAAAAATACAAAAAACTAGCCGGGCGAGGTGGTGGGCGCCTGTAGTCCCAGCTACTCAGGAGGCTGAGGCAGGAGAATGGCGTAAACCTGGGAGGTGGAGCTTGCAGTGAGCTGAGATCCGGCCACTGCACTCCAACCTGGGCGACAGAGCGAGACTCCGTCTCAAAAAAAAAAAAAAAAAAAAAAAAAAAAAAAAGACATCTTGAAAAAACTAAATTTTTTTTTTAAAAAAAAGGACACTTAAAGATCAAGTCTCCAAAAGCCTAGCTGAACACAGGGTTGTATCCTGGCTGGCAAATGCTTCAGTGGGGCTTCCTTTGCCATCAGGGATCTAGGTAAGGCTGGTCCTCCAGTCTTTGATATGGAACCCACAGAAGAATAAACACTAAATATTTTAAATTAGGAAAAATTCTATTAAAGAGAGGGCTGCAAAATCATCAGGTTATACCTCTTATCTGAATAATGTTTTAGATGATGAGCTCTGTAGCCAGGCTCTCCAGGTTTGTAGTAGCTAGGTGACTGGGCAAATTACTGAACCTCTCTGTCACTCACTTTTCTTCTCTATAAAATGAGGATAATAACAACACTTATTTCATAGGATCATAATACATGTAAATCACACATAATGGTGCCTGGCACATAATGAGTACTCAACAAGTATTCCTATTGTTACTTTTTCTGTTTTTATTAGGCTGGTTCAAAGTGGCATCACATGTACTGCACCAGTACTCTCCAAGTGTGGTCCCCAGACCAGCAGCATCAGCACCACCTAGGAACTTGTCAGAAATGCAAACTGTCAGACCCAACACCGGATCTACTGAATCTGAAACTCTGGGGGTGAGACCAAGCAATGTGCTTTTGTTGTTGTTGTTGTTTTGTTCTCTGAGATGGAGTCTCGCTGCTGTTGGTCCAGGCTGGAGTGCAATGGACGATCTCAGCTCACTGCAACCTCCGCCTCCCGGTTTCCAGCAATTCTCCTGCCTCAGTCTCCCGGGTAGCTGAGATAACAGGCACCCAGCAACAAGCCTGGCTAATTTTTGTATTTTTAGTAGAGACGGGGTTTCACCATGTTGGCCAGGCTGGTCTCAAACTCCAGACCTCAGGTGATCCACCTGCCTCGGCCTCCCAAAGTGTTGGGATTATAGGCGTGAGCCACCATACCTGGCCGCAATGTGTTTTAGTAAGTCCTCCAGGTGATCCTGATGTACAATGGAATTGCAGAATCTGTATTGCACTAATAACCACCTGGGGAACTGGTGAAAATGGCAGGCCCTTGGGTCTTCCCACCAGATACTTATTCAGTAGGTTATCTAATTTTATTCTCAAAGCAACCCTTTTGATTGGTATTATTCCATTTTAGGGATAATAAAACCGAGTCTCAGAAATGTTAAATAATTTTCCCAAGGTCACTTGACTCTTAGGATTTGTAAGGGATCCCAAATGTTTTGCTTTTGAGACAGGGTTTTGCTCTGTCACCCAGGTGGAGTGCAGTGGCACAATCGTGGCTCACTGCAGCCTCGACCTCCCAGGCCTAAGCAATCCTCCCACCTCAGTCTCCTGAGTAGCTCAGACCACTTATGTGCACCACCATGCCTGGCTAATTTTTATTTTATTTTATTTTATTTTTTCACAAAGTCGGGGGGGGGGTCTCCCTATGTTGCCCAGGTTCCAAATATTTAAATAATGAAGGTCCTTTTCTAACAACTCCACCTGACAACGGTTTTGTTATTAAGTCTTTGAAGAAACAGAAAATGACCAAAAATTACTAGTAAGTCATCAGTGCTTTAAAATGTACTCACATATGTTTAATCATATTATCATCTGCCTGCATTTACACAACAGTGCAAAATTTAGATTTCTGATCCTCTAGGAATCCCAGATATAGACACACTGGAAATGCCACATAATACTGGCCTGCCTTGCCTGCCTGCTGGTCAAGGCAAAAAAGGAATCAGGGCAATTTATACAACTCTACTCTTGGTCAAGACAAAAGGAAGCAAACAAATCTATCTCGACAAATTTAATTTTTAATTTCATAAGCGAAAGGAGAACTTACCCGAGTGCCAGACCCCAGAGCTGCTATGCTATTTCCAGGTAAGATACTTGAATTTAACCCAATGGTACAGAGATAAATTTCCTTATTTGGAAAAATCATTTAAAATAATCTGGCAATCTGCCCAAAGTTTCCATTCCCAACACAAAGCTTTTTTTTTTTTTTTTTTTTGGAGACAGAGTCTTGCTCTGTCGCCCAGGTTGGAGTGCAATGGCACAGTCTCAGCTCACTGCAACCTCTGCCTCTGCCTCCTATGTTTAAGCGATTCTCCTGCCTCAGCCTCCCAAGTAGCTGAGACTATAGGCGCCCACCACCATGCCAGGCTAATGTTTGCATTTTTAATAGAGACAGGGTTTCACCATGTTGGCCAGGCTGGTCTTGAACTTCTGACCTTAAGTGATCCGCCCACCTCAGCCTCCCAAAGTGCTGGGATTATAGGCGTGAGCCACCGCACCCAGCTTCCCCCTACTTTTAGTCACACACAGGATCACTAATTAGACTGCAAAAAAATCACTGATCTATTAGTAATCAAGTTAACAGAAACGTGGTCACAAAATCAAATATAGAAATGTTCATAAAACTAAAATGGAAAAAAGACAAAATTAAACTTTGTTTTCAAGCAGAAGCACTCAATTAATATACAGAAGAAACTAATTGGAGACTGAAGCAGTAATATTTAAAGGAGAGGACTGGAGAGGAAATGACTCAGAGGGAGGTAAAAACAGGGAGCCCTGGTGGTTTGATTTTTGCTGACAAGTACTGAAACAGCAGCAGGTAAATATGCTGTAACGAAGACTGTTGCCAAAAGTTCCAGATAAACCAAGATTTTAAACGAAAGGCACTGATAGTATTTAGGCTAAGGAACTGTAATACTGACTTATCTCATGATAAAGATGCTATTCTACAAATTTGAATTGAATATTGAAAAGTCAATTTAAGTTACAATTTTGTTTAACAATTTCAATTTTTTTTTTTTTTTGAGACAGGGTCTTGCTCTGTCATGCAGGCCTTGACCTCCCCAGCCTCAAGTGATCCTCCCACCTTAGCCTCCTGGTTAGCTGGGACTACAGGCTCTCGCCACCAAACCCACCAATTTTTTGTATTTTTTTGTAGAGATGAGGTTTCCCCACATTCCCCAGGCTGCTCTCGAACTCCTGGGCTCAAGCGATCCTCCCGTCTCAGCCTCTCAAAGTGCTGGGATCATAGGCATGAGCCACTGCACCCAGCCAATGCTTTCAAATCTTTAGAATGTTGATCATTTCTTTCCCAGCCTCTTCTTCGAGGCCAGGCTGGTCTCGAACTCCTGACTTCAGGTGATCTGCCCGCCTCAGCCTCCCAAAGTGCTAGGATTACAGGCGCGAGCCACGGTGCCTGGCTGAGAGCATTTTTTAAAAGGGTGAAGTGCCACAGCTGGCAGTTCTCATCGGCCAGATCATTGCTATGATGAATCAACTTTGAAGTCAGGAGGTCTATACTCTAGAGCATTAAGATTTGCTGATATTTGTGTGCATACAGGTTTTGGATCCCAGCTGGGATTTTAGGTTTTCTCTGAAACAAGAATGAGGCAGGGTTTCTAATGCTCCTATTTCTCCATTACAAACCTACCCACAGGAGAGCCAAATAAATGTTGACCGACAGACAAACGTTTTAGCAGGTTTTCTAATTTAACTCTTTTCTAGAAAAGATTTAACTCAATCTTCAAGGTTCATTTGGTTAAGTTTTACTCCAAAGTATGAGAAGATAGGCAATAAACGAATTTTGTCCCTAAAGGGAGTATTATAAAGACTACAGTTCCTATAAATTTTTCCACAATGGAACCAGTAGTAACTCTTGTTCTATTAGTCTCACAAGACCCCAAGAACAGCTCTATCTTATTAAACGCTACACACTAAACTCCTGCTCTCTAAATCACTATCTTATTAAACGCTACACACTAAACTCCTGCTCTCTAAATCGCAGATAATATTTACTGATTGTTTTCCAGTCAGAAAAATAAAAACAAATAACTATTCCTGGGAATGTTAAAAAAAAAAGGGTGGGGGAGGCTGGGCGTGGTGGTTCGTGCCTGCAATTCTAGCACTTTGGGAGGCTGGGGCGGGCGGATCACTTGAGGTCAGGAGTTTAAGACCAGCCTGGCCAAGATGGAGAAAACCTGTCTCTACTAAAAATACAAAAATGAGCTGGGCGTGGTGGTGTGTGCCTGTAATCCCAGCTACTTGGGAGACTGAGGCAGGAGAATTGCTTGAACCTGGGAAGTGGAGGTTGCAGTGGTGAGCTGAGATTGTGCACTGCACTCCAGCCTGGGTGAGAGTGAGGCTCTGTCTCAAAAAAAAAAAAAAGGCCGAGGGAAGTTTGGAAAGCCCCAGAAATCCATACACTCTGTGGCTATTAATTTAGTCAATCAAGATTTATCATGCAAAGCATTGATCAGTGATTCAACCAGAGCCTCCAAAATCATTTAGTCTATAAAATTAAAATGATTTGTTATTGTTTGAAACACACCAAAGAACACTATCAAAAAGTTAAACAATCAGATTGCTGTGATAGAAAGGTAGTGGGAAGAAATGTAATTAAAGTTAGGTTAAATCAAAACAATTTTTCAGAAATGAGTTGGCAAGCCACTGTTTCTTGCTTTTCTGACTGCAACTGGAAAAGCCTGGCAGAAAGAGGTGAAGTGTCACCATCCCCACATTCATGTATCAAGTCCACAAGCTTCTCTTTTCCTATCGAGTTGCCTAAAGCGTCAAGCACAGCAGTTAATCATATCCTACTGTAAATTACTTTAATCAGATAATAGATCACTTCCTTCTAATACCTACTGAAATCATATAGAGTGGGTGAGGGAAAGGTTTTTCTTGTTTTTTTTTTTTGAGACAGGGTCTCCCTCTGTTACCCATACTGGAGTGCAGTGGCCCAATCTCTGCTCACTGCAACCTCCACCTTCTGGGCTCAAGTGATCCTCCCACCTCAGTCTCCCAGGTAGCTGGGATTACAGGCATGCGCCACCACGCCCAGCTAATTACTGTATTTTTTGTACAGACAGGAGTTCACCATGTTGCCCAAGCTGGTGTAACTCCTGAGCTCAAGCAATCCGCCCACCTCGGCCTCCCAAAGTGCTGGGATTACAGGCATGAGCCACCGTGCCCTGCCAGGTGAGTTATTTTGAGAGCAATTTTTTTTTTTTTTTTTTTGAGACAGAGTTTCGCTCTTGTTGTCCAGGCTGGAGTGCAATAGTGCAATTTCGGCTCATTGTAACCTCCGCCTCCCAGGTCCAAGCGATTCTTGTGCCTCAGCCTCCTGAGTAGCTGGGATTACAGGCACGCACCACCACGACCGGCTAATTTTTGTATGTTTAGTAGAGACGGTTTCACCATGTTGGCCAGGCTGGTCTCGAACTCCTGACTTCAGGTGATCTGCCCGCCTCAGCCTCCCAAAGTGTTGGGATTACAGGCGTGAGCCACGGCGCCTGGACGAGAGCATTTTTTAAAAGGGTGAAGTGCCACAGCTGGCAGTTCTCATCGGCCAGAGCGCAGAATGAGTACTGAACACGGGGAAGGGGCTTGGCGGAGCGCAGAGTGAGTACTGAACACGGGGAAGGGGCTTGGCGGGGTGGGTGATGAGCAGGTGAAAGATTTGTAAAAAAGAAAAGGAGGGGCTGAGAAGGGTAATCTTTTACTTTGAAATTCTACCTGGGGCACTTAGGAGACGGTCTGCCGTTGAAAGTCACCTCAGCGACTGGGCTAGAGATTAGCACCAGAAAAACATCGGATCCTTCAAAGGTTCTACCTCGGCTGTACAGTGACGGGATAAAAGCCAGTCTTTAAAAATGAATGATCTCGAAACACTCTGCACCAGTCATACCACCACTGTCCCTTTCAAGTGCTTGTGCCTTTAAGGCTGTTCATTCTGTCTAGTTCATTATCTCGTTTTCAGATGGATCAACTCTGCTTATCCTCGAAAACTTAAATTAGTGAGAGAGAGTCACCATCACCATAGTCAGCAGAGGTCTTTTCTTTACCGGCTTGGGGTTTCTAAAGCTGGACTTGTGGAGAAGCTGGATAGCAACCAAAATGACTGAAGGGCTGTGGCGCTGGCATTGGTAAGAATGAAAATTAGGGTTACTGGACTTTGTGAAAAAGACATATGAGAACGGACAGGCGAGTAATAATCAAACACCATGTATCAGAGGGTAGGGAAGGTAGCTGCCGTTCCTTTGCTTTTACTAGAGACTAAGAGATGGATATAGCAAGAAGCTTCAGAAAAGATTTCTTACTACATAAAGGTTCCAAGACATTGGAGTTGAGTAAGGGAGTCTGTGAACTTTATTATTTTAATTACTTACCTCATGGAGTTGTTTTGAGAATTATGTATATAAAAATCTGCGTAAATGACCTAGTATAGTGCCTGGTTCACACCGTGACTCAAATGATGGTTATTATTATTCTCTTACTAAGCATTCTTTAAAGGCTGTCGGAAAACTTTTGGGGCCACCTAGGAAATCGTAGTATAATCAAATAATGCTGAAATTCTTGTGTGTGTGTGTTGGAGGTAGGAGCTCACTCTGTCGCCCAGGCTGGAGCACAGCAGTCGACTATGGTTCACCGCACCCTGGACCTCCCGGGCTCAGCCTCCCAAGTAGCTGGGACCAGAGGCGCACGCCACCACCCTCGGCTAATTTTTCTATATTTTGTAGCGACACGGTCTCTCAATGTTGCCCAGGCTGGGATGCTGAAATTCTTCCCCTTCCAAGAATCCATCTATAATCATGGCCTCCACGTCATTCTCCCTATTGGAATGTTTAATTGACTAAAACTACATTGCCTTCATCTGCTTACTAAGCGGTGGCTCCAGTAAAGGCCACACCTTGTCCAAAAGACAGAAGCAGTTAATTAGCACTCAAATGGCGCTCGAAGGCGTGGGCGCGGGGGTGTTCAGTCGCAGCCACCTTACTTTCCGAAGGCACACAGGCACAGACGTTGGGCTAACTGCCGATGTTCGGGGAGAACGAGAGGGCCTGACCAGGTCAAGACGGCCTCCGCTGCCCAAGCTACACAAAAAGGTGGGGGAGCTAGGAACTGGCCAGCAAGGAAAGAAAAGTTTCACGCGTTGAGTTGGAGTCTGAAGCAAGGACCTAACTGACACAGGGAAACGTCACAGGAAAGGGGGCCCAGGAGAGCAGACACGGAGCCACCAGACCAGAAAGAGGAAAAGGCACTGGAAAGCAGCATCAAAGCCACCGGCCCCAGCCTCATACCTGCTCTTCCCGCTCCCCTCCTCGGCGCCCAGTGATGACCTCACCCGCCGGCGCCCAATCCCGTCGAGCGTAAGGCGCGAGGCGGCGCAGCCAAACAGTCACATCCGGGGCCGAGAGGAACCGCGAACGAGCTGGGCGTGCGCCCTTGCTTCGTGCCCTCAACCCGCATGGCGGAGCCACTGGCGCGCCGCGGAGAGGCCGGGCGAGTCGGGCGGTTTCGGCGCCCTCGCTGAGCCGCGGGGGAGGGGCGGAAGACGCCCGTGCAGCCGGTGCGTCTGCCCTCAGTGAGGCGGGGCGCGCGGCGGACGCCCCCGGGCAGGGGCGGGAGTGGTGGAGGCGCCGGCGGTTGGCACTGAAAGGGGCGGTGAGCGAGCCGCTCCGGTCTCCGGGCGAGGCTTGGCCTTCCGAGCAGAGACGGCGGGAAGCGGCGGCGGCGGCGGCGGCCCTCGGGCCGGCTGGTGAGGCGATGGCGGCGCCGGCCCCGGGGGCTGGGGCAGCCTCGGGCGGCGCTGGCTGTAGCGGCGGCGGCGCGGGCGCGGGCGCGGGCTCGGGCTCTGGGGCCGCGGGGGCCGGGGGCCGGCTGCCCAGCCGGGTGCTGGAGTTGGTGTTCTCTTACCTGGAGCTGTCCGAGCTGCGGAGCTGCGCCCTGGTGTGCAAGCACTGGTACCGCTGCCTGCACGGCGATGAGAACAGCGAGGTGTGGCGGAGCCTGTGCGCCCGCAGCCTGGCAGAAGAGGCTCTGCGCACGGACATCCTCTGCAACCTGCCCAGCTACAAGGCCAAGGTGAGAGAGCCCCGGGCCACACCGCTGCCCCCAGTCCCGCTCCCCGGCGTCGTTCCCGGTGTTGCTATCCAAGCTTCTGAGTCAGACGCCTCGCCTCACCAGCCCGCCTTTCCACGGCTCCAGTCAGCACCTTCCTCACCTCCCCCCAACATAAAGATTCTCTTTTCTTTGGATCGAAGTTCTGCTCCTTAACCCACCCCACTTCCGTGATCCACTTTTCAAACAACTAGGTAGTTTGCATCACTCATTCAACTTTTGACAGCTTTCCCCGTTAAAGACAGACCACCATTCTTGTACCTTTTAATGCCCTCATCCTAATTTTCCCCCTGGCCTCCAAATAGACTTCATTATGTTAAATAATCCCCGCTACCTTAACAGGGGCTTAGTTTCTAAGTTTCTAGTTTGCTTTTACTCCACGTTTATCTCATCTTTTCCAAACTCTGATTTTTAACCTTTTTTTTTTTCATTATTTTCCCCCAAGTTCTCTTTAGTTCCCTCCACTATATTTGAGGCTCACAAGTGGGTGTAGTCCTAGTCATCCTGCTCACTTAAAGATACAGGCCTTTATAGAACATCCACGGGCACCACTTAACATACCGCTTTGTCCTACTGTTGTTGGCTGTTTCCTTGCTAACTTTTTAATAGTTCCACATGGATGGCGTGTCTCTCTTCTTCTGTTTGTCATCTAAGGTGCTGATTACAGTTTCGCTGCGTCCTTTTTTTTTTCTCCTAGATTCTTGTGCGTATTCCGCCCGCCTTCATATACAAAATAAAAATGTCAAGAACAGGTTGTGGTAGGGCTGAAAGGATTCTCAGGCCATATAAACAAAGGGTCTTGGCCTTGGGTTCAGCTTAATGGTTAACAGCTGTTCAGTATAGCAGTCAACCAAGATCATATATAAGAGAAGATAAAGTCTGATTGCAATGTAGTAAACATAATAAATGCATTAGTAACTAAAAGGATAACATCCTTTTTTTTTTTTTTTTTTTTTTTTTGAGACGCAGTGTAATGGCATGATCTCGGCTCACTGCAACCTCTGCCTCCCGGGTTCAAGCGATTCTCCTGCCTCAGCCTCCCGAGTAGCTGGGGTTACAGGCATGTGCCACCACACCCGGCTAATTTTGTATTTTTAGTAGAGATGGGGTTTCTCCATGTTGGTTACGCTGGCCTCCAACTCCCGACCTCAGGTGATCCGTCGGCCTCGGTCTCCGAAAGTGCTGGGATTACAGGCGTGAGCCACCACGCGATAACATCCCTTTGTTATACTAGCTTGCCAACAGGGGTCGGAGTAAGAAGTAAAAAATTTTTTTTCATGTGAAGCATGTAAAATTTATACTTCTATAGTAAAACTGGTTTTAGTTATAGAAGACAGGGAACATTGCCATTAAATATGTCAACTATCAAGTTGTTTCTCTTTTCTTTTTTCTTTCTTTTTTTTTGGGGACGGAGTCTCGCTCTGTCACCTAGGCTGGAGCGCAGTGGCCAGATCTTGGCTCACTGCAAGCGCCGCCTCCGGGTTCAGGCCATTCTCCTGCCTCAGCCTCCCGAGCAGCTGGGACTACAGGCGCCCGCCACTAGAGACAGGGTTTCGCCGTGCTAGCCAGGATGGTCTCGATCTCCTGACCTCGTGATCCACCTGCCTCAGCCTCCCAAAGTGCTGGGATTACAGGCGTGAGCCACCGCACCCGGCCTCAAGTTGTTTTTCTATTAAGCAAAATAACAATAATTTTTTTTTTTTTTTTTTTTTTTTTTTTTTTGAGACGGGGTCTCCCTCTGTCACCCAGGCTGGAGTGCAGTGGCCGGATCTCAGCTCACTGCAAGCTCCGCCTCCCGGGTTCACGCCATTCTCCTGCCTCAGCCTCCCGAGTAGCTGGGACTACAGGCGCCTGCCACCTCGCCCGGCTAGTTTTTTTGTATTTTTTAGTAGAGACGGGGTTTCACCGGGTTCGCCAGGATGGTCTCGATCTCCTGACCTTGTGATCCGCCCGTCTCAGCCTCCCAAAGTGCTGGGATTACAGGCTTGAGCCACCGCGCCCGGCCAACAATAATTTACTAGGACTATTTGTGCATGGTGGCTATTCAGTGGATACTGGTTGTAATTTATATAGGTGAGTGCAGAGTATTGGAATTTTGTCCTACTTTTATAAATGTGTAGGTTTCATAAATTTTATTTAGTTTTTATTTTTCCATAAAGCTTATTGTTTTTACTTATTTTAAACTAGGAGTTTTTGTTGTTGTTTTTGAGACAGGGTCTCACTCTGTCTCCTAGGCTGGAGTGCAGTGGCGCAATCATAGCTCACTGCAGCCTCAACCTCCTGAGCTCAAGTGATCTCCTTAGCTTAGCCTCCCAAGTAGCTGGAACTACAGGCATGTGCTACCACAGTGGCTCCTTTTTTATTTTTCACAGACACGGGGTCTCACCTTGTTGCCTGGCTGGTCTCAAACTCCTGGGCTCAAGTGATCTTTCCACCTCAGCCTTCCAAAGTGCTGGGGTTACAGGCGTGTGCCACTACACCCAGCCTAAACTAGGAGTTGTTGTTTTGGTAATTGACTTGTAATAGAAATGTTCACATGATTCAAGAATCATATTATAATATGTAATACATAATGTGTCGTGTGAGTCAAGCTTCAATAGAAGCAAAATAATATCAAGCAAAATGTTTTCCTTTCATCCTTGTCCCCCTGCTACCCAGTTCCTCTCCAGGTATGCAACCTGTGTTACGATTTGTATCCTTCCAGAGATATTTTAGGTTTCTGAGGTTTTTAATACTTTGCCTTTCTGCTATGTGCATTATAGATGTTGTAGACTTGTACCAATCACTGTTCATTCACACATTGTAGGACTTTTCTTGAATATTTTCAGGATAAAAGATTAATTCAAAAGGAGTCAAATAGTCTAGCAGGAAAGTCTTTCAATCTAGTAGAGGAGAAAAAAATGTATGGAAAGAACTGTTAATGTGTGGTAAAAACTGCTCCTTACTGTTACAGACATAAAAAGGTATACTGGAAGTTCAGTGAAAGGAGACATTTACAAATTGAGTGGAGGATTGGAGAAGATTTGAGGTTGAGGTTATATTTGAGCTGAATTTTAAAGATGAGAAGGAGTTGAATATTTTAGGAAGAGGAAGTACTCTGAACAGAAGCAGTACAACAGGAAAGTAAAAGGTTTGTACAACATATTTTTATTTAAAAAAATGAGTGCCAGGCACTATGCTCAGTTTTGCAGAAGCAGTGGCAGATAAAAGAAACACAGACTCTTATGGATGGCTTGCCTTATGGAGCTTACAGTCTAGTAGGGGAAATGGATATTAATGAAATAATCGCACAGATGTAAAACTGCATCTGGTATGGTGGTATGAAGGAAGGATACCTAGTGCTCTGATTGTCTGTAGTGGAGGATTTAACCTAGGTAGAGAGGTGAGGGAAGGCTTTCTCAGAGGAAGTGATCCATGTACTGAGATCTGAAGGATGATAAGTAGGCCAAGGGGAGCGAGAACGGCCTTCCAGGAGGGAACCTTATGAATGTGAGGGATGGAAACTACGTCAATGTGGCTGGAGCACAGAGCAAAGGTGATGCTGGAGGCCGAGACAGGCGGATCACGAGGTCAGGAGATCGAGACCATCCTGGCTAACACGGTGAAACCCCGTCGCTACTAAAAAATACAAAAAAAAAAAACCAAAAAACTAGCTGGGCGAGGTGGCGGGCGCCTGTAGTCCCAGCTACTCGGGAGGCTGAGGCAGGAGAATGGCATGAATCCGGGAGGCGGAGCTTGCAGTGAGCCGAGTTCGCGCCACTGCACTCCAGCCTGGGCGACAGAGCAAGACTCCGTCTCAAAAAAAAAAAAAAAAAAAAACATGGAAGAAGTGAACTGGGGCCAAAGTATAGGGAAGCCATTTTGAGTTTTAAGCAAGAAGGATTTGAGATGTGGGGATTGGTAGTATGATTATTTTGCTTTTTTTTTTTTGAGACGGAGTCTCACTCTGTCGCCCAGGCTGCAGTGAGTGGCGCGATCTCGGCTCACTGCAAGCTCCGCCTCCCAGGTTCCCGCCATTCTCCTGCCTCAGCCTCCAAGTAGCTGGGACTACAGGCGCCGCCACACGCCCGGCTAATTTTTGTATTTTTAGTAGAGACGGGGTTTCACCGTGTTAGCCAGGATGGTCTCGATTTCCTGACCTCGTGATCCGCCCGCCTCGGCCTCCCAAAGTGCTGGGATTACAGGCGTGAGCCCACGCGCCCGGCCTTATTTTGCATTTTAAGAGATTACTTCTGACTTTAGTATGGAGAACAGGTTGGAATATGGTAGGTCAATTAGGAAGTAGGTAGTAGAGGAGATGGAAATGGACAGATTTAGTAAGTAAAAATCTACAGAACTTGGCAATAGATTTGAAATAGGGATGAAGAAGAGGGAAGTGGTAAGGATGAATCCTAGAATTTGGCTCACATAATGTAGAGATCATTTGATCTATAATTTTTTTTTTTTTTTTTTTTTTGAGATGAGGTCTTGCTCTGTTGCCCTGGCTGGATGCAGTGGAATGATCATAGCTCACTGCATGCAGCTTTGAACTCCTGGGCTCAAGCGATCCTCCCACTTCAGCCTCCTGTGTAGCTGGGACTGCAGGCATGTGTCACTATGACCAGCTAATTTTTAATTTTTTTTTTTTTTTTTTTTTGAGACGGAGTCTCGCTCTGTCGTCCAGGCTGGAGTGCAGCGGCCGGATCTCAGCTCACTGCAAGCTCCGCCTCCCTGGTTCCCGCCATTCTCCTGCCTCAGCCTCCGGAGTAGCTGGGACTACAGGCGCCGCCACCACGCCCGGCTAGTTTTTTTTTTTTTTTTTTTAGTAGCGACGGGGTTTCACCGTGTTAGCCAGGATGGTCTCGATCTCCTGACCTCGTGATCCACCCGAAGTGCTGGGATTACAGGCTTGAGCCACCGCGTCCGGCCCTTTAATTTTTATTTGTAGAGATGTGGTCTCACAATGTTGCCCAGGCTGGTGGGCT